TCACCAATAACTCTTATCAAGAGAAGAGTTATCAATAACTCTTCTAGAAGAAGAGTTATGAATATAATGGCATGACGACACAAGCTGCATCTCGCACGTGCTGTATATTTCTTTAAATAACTCTGGTTTCAAATTATTGAACTTTCGTATAGCTTACAAATGACCAGAGATAGATTAAACATTTAGCCGGCATTCTGTCAAATTTGACCTTAAATATAATGGTAAATGCCATCCAACCCTTTAAGGTCACGTTGCCTCGCTTTACAATGTAATCCGTAAAGGTTTCAAGACATAACCATGATATTTAAGGTCAAATCTCTGGATTAAGATGCAAATATAATCATGCTTAAAAATGAACGTACAAATGTATGAAGTTGTTGTAAAAGATTATTGTTAGGATGCCCGACAATACCGCGCGCTGACCTCCAGAGAAACAGAAGCAAGTTTTTCTTCCTAAAAAGAAGAGCGGGCAATATTTTTTACTGAGCCTCGAGCCGCCGCTTGAAGGCCAGTTGCTCAACTGGAAAAATGTGCCTTGTTTTGAAATCACTTGACTGTTCTCCAATTTGAATAGTTTTTAACCTTAGTTTTCATAATTTTTAAATGATGTATATATTATATAATTTGATATATTGGTAGCAATATAATCCATATATTCTATATTTTTTACATTTACATACTTCTCCACTTTTATTTATTTATCTAGATTTTACATCATTTACACGGTATTTGGCTCATTTGCTGTTCATAAAACATTCGCCTATTTTAATAGTTGCCTACTTTTCTTAAAACTTTCATATATTTCAATCCACTTGACAACTTTTGATGGCACGTGATTAAGTATTTAAATCATTTGCATGTATTCTAAAAACCTTACCTACTGTTTTGATTATTTGCCTAGATTTACAATCATTAGTCAAATTTTTAAGCCATATTCCCAATTTTCACGTCATTCCCATGTTCAAAATTTGCTTCTTTTGCTTTAAATAATTTTCCAGATTGTTAAATAATCTACTTAATTTATAAACAAGTTCTAATTTTTCGAAATCATTCAAATAGTTCGCAGAACACTTGCCCAAAGTAAATGCAGAACACTTCACCGCATCTGAAGCTATTAATTGGCCATATCCATGCATTATCCAACAAAACAACTAAAGTTCTTGCGAGCCATGGATCAGAAGGCACATTGATAGGATACATTAATAAATAAGATACTTTAGATAAGATAACAAAAACATTGATAGACACGATAATTCATGTGATGCATGATAATCACTCAATCATCCTTCACTATTGACATTGTCACGTGGTGTAGCAGACGATGTTATCGTCGGCAGCTTTGGCTTCGCATAAGAAAATATTGGTCTTACATTGGACGGTGGAGTGGGAGGTCCGTAGACTTCTATGCGTATCCCGCCTGAAGTAGTATCGCTGGTCGGTTTATTTATGGTTTTTGGTTTACTTTTTAGGTAGCAGGTTAGCCCAGCACTGTCCGGGATAGATGTTTGGGAACCTATCGTCCCGAATATTTCAAAATATTAAATAATTTTAGCATTAAAAATAAAAATCTCAAGCAATATTCCGACACGATCTGTATCCTGGATACGCGCCCCAACAGCCCCTATATATACACGATATCCCGCCACGATAAGTATCGTGGATACGCGCTCCCAACATCCAGGCTTCAAACACACAATTTTTTCAACAAATATTTATCAAGATTTGTGTGTAAAGATCGTCTCAGGGTTTCGTCTGCCCCTAAAAAATTATTCTTAGTGGCAGAATATGAAAGAATTGGAGGAAGGGGAAAAACGTATTACGCCATAAATTAAAATTTTAATTTTATTTGGTATATGTATGTTTACTTGAAAAACTCAAGATTAATATGTAGGTTTGAACAGATTTTTTTGTACCTTATGGTGAATAAGTCTTGCTTTGCCGGAACGAGTCAAATATTCTACAGAATGCCGAACAAAAACAAAAGCATATCGGAACTGAAATCTAAAAGTAAGAATAACTTACATAAGATTTTTATTTACTCATATTTATAAAATTTGTTTATTTCTTTTTACTTTATTCAAGATATCATCACGGAAGCCTGGCTGTTAGGCGGTTTAATATGAAACATAATTCATACTTTGCTAGCCCTTTTAACGCGTCGATTATACTTTGTTACCCTAGACAAGCTTTATATATGAGAATCTCCCTCTCGCGTGCACTCATCCTGAGCCTTCATTCCCGTTCATCCTGAGCCTTCATTTTTAGGAAATTATATTATCCTTATATGGTTAGCCACCTTATCCCTTATTAGGATAGGAAATTTCTATGGTAACAATAAATATTCATCATATGCAATATAGTTACATAGATTAAAATATACCATAGAGAAAATGCAAGAATTGACGTTACTTTAATTCATTGACAAAGAAATATACCCGTTTTATCACAAAGTTATCCAAATTTCCCCGTGATCCCCCCTCCATAATATCCATAAAAAATACCCCACAATCAGAAAATATATCGACAAATCTCCTTCAATTTCCCAATTGTTATGTAATTTGGAAACAAAATATATAAAAATATCTCCATCTCAATTTCCCAATTATTAAAATGTATTCCGCAAACAATGAAGAGAGAAATATTCTTACATGAGCTACAGTTGTGATAAATAGGCTATAATAAACCCAGTGTCGCACTGGCCGCCATCTTTTTTTATATAATTTCATTTGATAAGCATAAGTGAGTTGGCACCTCATAGTGAATGATCCCTTGACTATCATCAATAAATCTTTCTCAAATAAAAAAATTATTGTTGCCGAATTTTTTTCTTGTCTCTAGAAAGTTACCTGAAATTAAATCTTCCGAAAAAATACGTGTTAAAAAATTTGGTCGAAGTAAAGTTCATTGAAGACGTTAATGTTACGTACCCACCGTCTCACATCGGTCCGATTTTCCCTTCCATTTGGAACCTAAAATTTTTCAATTAAATAATCGGCCTTATTATTAAATATGCACTAGGACTATTACTATCAAATTTTTACACAAGTTCAGACAAGTCGAAAGTCCGAATCAAACAAGTTTTATGTTTAAAAGTTGATTTTTTTAGCGAAACTTTCGCTTTCATTCTCTTGATTTACCTAAATTGGAATAAAATTCAGTAGAGATTTTGTTTAAAAATCGAATCTAATAAAGAAAATGTTGAATAATCAATAAATAATGACTTAGAACGGGTGATAACTAATAGAGTAATTGCTTACTAGGCATTAGGAAAAACTGCATCATTAGTTCGTCTAACAATATCGATGATCCGACATTAGTAAAAGGCGATGTCGCCACACAATGCTATTCCTACCAGAACTGTGAGTTAACCCTTTACTGCCCATGCCGACACACGCGTCCTGCCATTCACAATGCTATTCCTACCAGAACTATTAGTTAACCATTTAAGCAAGTAATTAAGCAGAGGTAAGGAACAAGATCAATTATTTAAAGGCACTGGAGTATCATGAGTAATAAGGCATAATATTATAATCTTCATCAAAGATATATCCAACGCCAGCACTTAATTTTTGATCAAATTGAGTATCTAAACGCCCCTCTATTTTGGACACGCAATTATACCTAATTGAGTGTCAGGTCTAAATTATTCATCATGAATAAATTCAAAAAGCAAGTCTCGTAAAAAAAGCATTAAACACATATACCAATAGGTACTGAATTTTTTTAAACAACTTTATTATGGAATTAAACAATGACTCACTTTTTGACTCTATATGTATGTTGGCCGCCGATGTATTTTATGTTTGGTACTTATTTTTTTAATATCTGTTCTAGAACTAAGGTTTCAAATGTGTTTTCTACAGGCTGCTCTAAAAGAAGGTTTATGGAGTTTCATTTACACGGATGTTTTAGGAAAATGTTTTTAAATAAATTATTGCCATGCCTGTTCTAAGGGAATATTTTAAAAGCTTTTTTCACTCGGTTGTTCTGAGGAAATATTTTAAAGGTTGTTTTTGTACGAAAGTGTTTAAAGTAATATTTTTTGAGAGAACTTTCTACATGGATGTTATTAAGTGATATTGATATATGTCTTTTTACCTGTTAATTTTGAGATAATATTTTTAATGATTATTTTATTACATGGCTTTTCTAGGGTAAATTTATGATATATGTGTAAACTTTTTATATATATATTTTGCATTGCTGTTTTAACATTTTTTGTTGATGTTTTTATGAAGCTGTTTTCTTAATCGGAAAATTTCTCTTTGTGATTTTACATTGTTGTTTTAAATAATATTTCCAGCCCCTCAGCCCCCCCTTGGCCGCCGCTGCGGGCCCTTTAAACGCCGCCCAAAATGGCGCGCCTGAAGCCAGGCCGGCTTCAGAATTTCCTTCATTAATGCGGCTTAAGCCACATTTTGGCTTCAGTTTATGGCGCTGCTATAATCTCCAGATTTTTGAAGGAGGGAGGGAGGGAATTCCTGGAATTTTAGGAAGATAATCCTGCTGCTCGTGAGATCCTAGCTGTAAGAACTTTTCAAATGTTCAGCGGTGATGCGGTCAGTTCAGCTTGTGCTGAATTTGCCCATCTTGTTGGCTGAAGTTTATCGCCTTTTTTTTCATTACAAATTTGATTTCATGCATTTTTTCGAATTTTATGAATTACCTCTTTTTGTTAACTCTAACACTATTACTATTACTTTGTTTATTGTTTAAATTACAACATCTGCATTCAATCCGTAAATCAAGCGAATTTTTTCAACACAGCTTCGAACTTTTTTCTATGAAACTTTTTGAATTCGTTTTCCACGATGCAGGCAATTCATTTTATTTGAAAAAAATAACACGAATATCGAAATAAGCAAAGTCATTGTATTTTTAAAGCAGTTCATACATTTTAAACATCACATTCGATTCGTGCTGCTCTACAATATCCCCTCCACGTTTCCCTCTCCATGATGTCCACTCCGCGATTTCTGCTCCACACTTCCCACTCTACGATGTCTCCACTACAATATCCCTTCCATGCTTTCCTCTCCACGATGTCCACTCCACGATGTCTGCTCAAGATATCCGCTCTATAATATTCCCTCAACGAAACCCTCTACACGATGTCCACTCCACGATATGCCCTCCACTCCCGATTTCCGAAGCCCGATTCCTGGCGCCCAGAGATGCGTGTTGCGTTCCCAAGGCTGTTCCACGCGCCAAGCAGCGTCATAACTGCACGATAAGCAGCGCCATAACTGCGCGATAAGCAGCGTCATAACTGCACGATAAGCAGCGCCATAACTGCGCTATAAGCAGCGTCAAAACTGCGCGATAATCAGCGTCACAACTGCGCGATAAGCAGCGTCATAACTGCACGATAAGCAGCGTCATAACTGCGCGATAAGCAGCGTCATAACTGCACGATAATCANCTATCGGACCTACCATCGGACCTACCGTCGGACCTACCATCAGACATACTGTCGGACCTACCGTCGGACCTACCGTCGGACCTACCGACGGACCTAACATAGGACCTACCGTTGGACCTACCGTCAGACCTACCGTCGGACCTACCGTTGTACCTACAGTCGGACCTACCGTCGGACCTACCGCCGGACCTACCGTTGCACCCGCCTACCGTCGGACCTACCGTCGGACCTACCGTCGGACCAGCCGTCGGACCTACCGTCGGACCTACCGTCGGACTTACCGTCGGATCTACCGTCGGACCTACCGTCGGACCTACCATCGGGCCTACCGTCGGACCTACCGTCGGACCTACCGTTGGACCTACCGTCAGACCTACCTTCGTGCCTATAGTCGTGGTCTGCGGCCCAATTTATGTCGTATTTCGCCGCTCCTCATCGGACAGCATCGCTCATCGCCGAGCTTCTTGCCGCGCTCGTGAACCTCTCGGCGATTACTGTGATTAATTCCTGATCGTTGCTCGGAATACCATGGGTAAAACATGACGAAATATGAGTTCAGGTAGAAATATAATTATATAAATCAGTACATTTGTTCTGGTAAGAATGGCGTAATTACATGTACGATGAATCAAGAATTTGAGTGGGAAAATCTCGTGGAAATATCAGCTTCGACATATAATCTGCAATTTTAAAATGTATGATTGTCATTGTCAAACGATTGGCTACCTCTGCGCCATGAGAGGATGAATAAAGTTATTAAAATGGTCTCGTCCTTAACTTAATAATGGTGTCAATGATGTTGTGCTAATACAACTAAATTATAATTAGCGTTCCAGGTTTCACTTAATTGGAATTGAATAAACTATTAACTCGAAGAGGTGACAATACGTGCGCGTATTGTCATGTTAAAATACGCCGTTACGTCAATCACTTATACTAGCTGTATTTCATTTTGAAGATTGTACCCACATTAACGTGTAACCCATATTGATTGTACCCACGAACACAAAATGTGGATACATTGTCAACGTTGCCGGAGCTCAAATATAGTTATTAATCAACAATATTTTCATTGTGTCAGGCATGGGACTTGATTATACAGAATATAGACGCTATGGTTGATTAATTATTTATGTCGCTTATTGTAATTTCCTCATCAAAACATTTATTGTCTACGTTTTATTGCCTCACATTCATGGTATCATCGGTGCGTCATTGTACAGGTGTCGTCACCAGCAATGCATGATACGCGCTCCGTGTATTATTGATTTCAGTTCGCAGAGGAGATTAATTGAATCGATGATATAATTGTGATGATGTTAGACTAATTATGTTTATTTTTGCGAAATATTTTTATTTGTGGACGCGGTGAAGTGATATTATATGACGTCATTGTTTGACTATGATATAATTGTATGACAGTAGATTTGGACGATGTACTGAACGTACAACCTGAGGAGGGGAAATGTTATATTATGCTCTGATTCAATTAATTAACCATGCAATTTTATTAGTTACTAAAATGTCCACTATTGGTATTATAACTCCATGCACGTGGTCCTGCATCCCGTTGAACAATATTACATTGAATACTATTTGAATGAACATTATTATCCATGCAAAGTTACTCACAATTCAATCATATGACAAACAAATAAGTACATACAACTAAGATGATGAAGGTCATTATTTTCCAAAGAACGTGCATACAAGCAGGCATTATTCTAATTAAAAAAAATCAAATTCTGATTTTGCCTGCCATTTTTTTACTGAAGAAAGCATGCGGCGTGTCAATTTAGGGCATTTAATGTTACTCCATCATTTAGGGTATTTAAAGTTATCCCATTATTTTCATTGAGATTGTTCGATGTGTATATAGAAAGATTACGTCTTAAAAAATGACGTCATTGGCCCAATATTAATCGGACTTCGTGTAATAGCGTTAATTGCACGCAATTTTGTTTCGATTGCTGCGAGATTTGAAATTATTAATTTTATTAACAATATTTTGCATGGTACTTCACACTCTAATCATTAATTATAATTGCAGAGGAGTGCTTTAACAAGCCCCCAACAGCAGCCGTGGGTGATAAGTACCTCTGTTCTGATCGTTATTATATATGTAAACATTTATTGTCAATTTTATGATCAATGAATCATAATTACATATGGCGGAACATTGTTGCGTAAATACTATTATCATTTACACATTGCTAGCAATATAGCATCAGTATTTGCTTACTTCTAAAAAAATAATAGGTTAAATTTTAGTGCCAGCCAAGAATACTGTGAACCAAATGATAATCATTGTACTTCAGTTAATAATGATTATTCTCCAGCATAAATATATTTAATATATTACTAAACTCCATCAATATTTAGGTTGAGACCACTTCTCATGCTTGTGCATAAGATGGCTACTGAAGTGGATGCTGAAGCCTGCGGGAGCAACAACAGGTTATGCCAACTCGAATATTTTAGCTTTACTTTTTAATTGGTCCGTCGGGTGATTTTTAGAATTTTTTGGCCTCGCTTGCCAGCGCTGGTTAAAGAAATAACTGCTACTGCGTCCGTGCAGTTGCCAGAAGCAGGATAACCTAACTGCTACTGCGCCCTGCAGTTGCCAGAAGCAGGATAACCTAACTGCTACAGCCCCTGCAGTTGCCAGAAGCTGGATAATCATCGCAGTCAGAAACTTTTTATTGAAAGTCCTATTTACTGCGTGTAATAAAACAATGAGAATTGAATCCACCCAAAACAACATTTGTCATGGATTACGATTATTATTTTGAGGTGAAATATTATTAGTGCTTCGAGTCACGAGTAATTCAGGATCTGATTGATTGTCCGTGCGATGAATCTGCGTCACTGGGGAGCGTATCTCTGTTGAGCCCCGAGGAGTGGGCGAAGTGGCCTGCTCTCTACTTCCCACTCCACCATTCCCTCACTTATCACTCCGCCACTCACCACTGCACCACTCACCATTCCACCACTCATCACTCCACCACTCCCCACTCCGCCACTCTCCCTCCTCTACTCCCCACTCCATAACTCCCCCCTCAGCCTCCACTCCTCAACAGTCCCCAGTCCTCGTTCCCTCCACCTTCCACCAGCCCCACTCCTCCCCACTCGCTGCCCTCCCCTCCCCCACTCGCCATTTTGTCCCCTCAGGAGGCGGCCACTCACAGGACTCCTAACTTACGACGAGCGTCGCCGGACCAGCGCCTAAAACTCCCCCCTTGGTCCCCCTTTCAATAAAACCCTTCATAAAAACATTTTACTTACATTACAATTAATTTACAATTTGTCTTCCGATCCAAAATAAATTTACTTTGTTATGTCTGAGTTTGTTCAAGTTTACGAATTAAAACGCAATGTATTAAAGCGAGTTCGAGCGACTTGTGTTGACTTTAAGAGCGGGGTTCAAGAGCGGGGTTTAAGAGCGGGGTTTTAGGAGCGGGTGCGCGGGCCGTATACATAATTAATGTTGCGTTCACATGAAGTATTTGGTGAATGGCTTAAAATAACAGGGAACACAGCGAGCCTTATTTATGGCTTCTGGGGGAGCAGGCGGGCTGCTGCTCGGCAAGCCAATGGCTATTTGAGCAGCTTTGTCTTACTGACTTAAAGAGGAGCATTTGTGACTTAAGAGGAGCATTTGTGACTTAAAGAGGAGCATTTGAGACTTAAAGAGGAGCATTTGTGACTTAAAGAGGAGCATTTGAGACTTAAAGAGGAGCATTTGTGACTTAAAGAGGAGCATTTGAGACTTAAAGAGGAGCATTTGTGACTTAAAGAGGAGCATTTGAGACTTAAAGAGGAGCATTTGTGACTTAAAGAGGAGCATTTGAGACTTAAAGAGGAGCATTTGTGACTTAAAGAGGAGCATTTGAGACTTAAAGAGGAGCATTTGTGACTTAAAGAGGAGCATTTGAGACTTAAAGAGGAGCATTTGTGACTTAAAGAGGAATTTATGACTTAAATAGGAGCATTTGTGACTTAAAGAGGATAAATTCAGGCTTAAAGAGGAGCATTTGTGACTTAAAGAGGAGCATTTCTGACTTAAAGAGGAGCAGTTGTGACTAAAAGAGGAGCATTTGTGACTTAGAGAGAAGCATCTGTGACTTAAAAAGGAGCATTAGCGACTTAAAAAGGAGCGTTTGTGACTTGAAATGGAGCATTTGGGACTTAAAGAGGAGCATTTTTGACTTAAAGAAGAATTTGTGATTTAAAGAGGAGCATTTGTGACTTAAAGAGGAGTATTTGTGACTTAAAGAGGAGCATTTGTGACTTAAAGAGGAGCATTTGTGACTTAAAGAGGAGCACTTGTGACATGAAGAGGAGCATTTGTGACATAAAAAGGAGCATTTGTGACTTAAAGAGGAGCATTCGTGACTTAAAGAGGAGCATTTGTGACTTGAAGAGGAGCATATGTGACATAAAAAGGAGCATTTGTGACTTAATGAGGGGCATTTTTGACTAAAAGAGGAGCATTTGTGACTTAAAGTGCAATTGTGACTCAAAGAGTAGCATTTGTGACTTAAAGAGGAGCATTTGTGACATAAAAACGAGCATTTGTGACTTAAAGAGGAGCATTTGGGACTTAAAGAGGAGCATTTGTGACTCAAAGAGGAGCATTTGCGGCTTAAAGAGGAGCATTTGCGGCTTAAAGAGGAGCATTTTTTGTGGCTTAAAGAGGAGCGTTTGTGATTCAAAGAGGAACGTTTGTGACTTAAAAAGGAGCATTTGTGACTTAAATAGGGGCATTTGCATGTGGCTTAAAGAGGAGCGTTTGTGACTCAGATAGGAGCATTTGCCACTTTAATTAAGAGGAGCATTTGTGACTTAAAGAAGAGCATTTGTGACTTAAATTGTGACTTAAAGAGGAGCATTTTTGACTTAAAGAGAAGCAATGGTGACTTAAAGAGAAGCATAAGCGACTTACAGAGGAGCATTTGTGACTTAGAGAGGAATTTGTGACTTAAGGGGAAGCATTGGTGACTTGAAGAGTAGCATTGTGACGTAAAAAGGAGCATTTTTGACTTAAAGAGGAGCATATATGACATGAAAAGGAACATTTGTGATTTAAAGAGTAGCATATGTGACTTAAAGAGGAGCATTTGTAACTTAAAGAGGAGCATTTGCGACTTAATAATATACGTTTAAAAATTACTTTTTAAAGACATCACTTCTAAAGAATCCAGTGTTACCAATGTTACAGATGTACAATGAATTTCTAATTTTATTTTATCTGTCAATTGATTCATGCATTTCCTCTAACTTCACACAAGTGTGCAAAATTTCCGATCAACTGGACAGGTAAAAGTGTGTGGTATATCAATTATTTATAAGATTTGTAGCTGACAAAATTATTTGTTCAGTTTTTTGATACCTATTGAAAAAAAAATTATTTCTTAAATTATTTATTTTGCCGTTTGATTTATGCATTGTCTCCAACTTTACGCAAGTGTGCAAAATTTCAGAGCGATAGAATAAGTAGACGTGTGTTAAATTTCGTTTATAAGCTTGATTTGTGGCAGACAGACAGACGGACAGACAAACAACAAGAAGTGAATTTAAAGAGAAGTGTTGTAAAAAGGAGCATTTGTGACTTAAAGAGAAACACATAATACTTAAAGAGGAGCGTTTGTGGCTTAAAGAGGAATTTATGGCTTAAAGTGGAGAATATGTGACTTAATGAAAGAGGAACATTTGTGTCTTAAAGCTAGAGGAGCATTTGTGACATAGAGGGGGATTTATAACTATGACTCAAAATTTTGCATTTGTGACTTAAAGAGGAATTTGTGGCTCAAAGTAGAGAATTTGTGACTTAAAGAGGAGAGGAACATTTGTGACTTAAAGAGGAGCATTTAATTGTGACTTAAAGAGTAATTTGCGACTTGTAGAGGAGCATTTTTAACTTAAAGAGGAGCATTTATGACTCAAAATTTTGCATTTGTGACTTATAGTTTTGGATTAGTGACTTGGTGAAGAGCATTGGTCACTTAAAGAGAAATATTAATTGATGACTGGAAAAAAATGCATCAGGTGACCTAAATAAGTTGGTCGTAAGTTGCTGTTGTGGTGGTCGTAAGTTACAGTTGTCGTGGTCGTAAGTCATAGTTTCGACGGTCGTAAGTCACTACCAGCGTAGGGCTTTAATGACCTTCAATTCTCAAGCCCCAAAACCCAACAGAAGCTCCGACGCCCGCCATCTTTACGCAAATCTGCGCGCAGGAATATCGCGTAATTGCAGGATTCGGGGAGAGAATTGCTGGAAAATTGCAGGATTTCGGGAGCCGGAGAAAGTTCAGCTTGAATGATTCTGTACAATGAGTAAATTTTCATTACAATACTCAGGTAGTGTACTATAATTACGATTAATTGGTTTACACGAACGAAAAAATTAAGCTGCGGACTTTGGATTGCTATAAAGGGAATTTAAAGTTAATGGTTTTTGACGAGCAGAAGTGAGGTGAAAATGCACGATCAGCTAACAATTGGTGTTAGAAAATATACAAAATATAACGTATATAAGAAATAATTTCCAATCAAAACTCTCACCAAAAATACCGTTGTTAACAAGAAAAGATTAAATGGCTAACAGGTTGAACGAATAACTGGTTAAATGGCTAATCTTAAATCTTAAATGTGTAAAAAGTTAAACGTACAACAGGTTGAATGGATTAATGTACCTTGTACCCAACATGCCTTGTACAACATACCTCACACCCAACATACCTCACACCCAACATACCTCACACCCAACATACCTCACACCCAACATACCTCACACCCAACATACCTCACACCCAACATACCTCACACCCAACATACCTCACACCCAACATACCACACACCCAACATACCTCACACCCAACATACCCCACTCCCAACATACCCCACACCCAACATACCCCACACCTATCATACCATAATTTAACCTAAATAAACTTCAAAAAATGTAACTGAATTGTTCAAACTCTTGAAGATAAGAAGTCAAATATAAAACTTAAACTTTTTCTCCGTCAAAAGTGTAGGATTTCGTTTGAGTTGGTAAGGAATGTATCCTGCTAAGCTGTTATGCTAATAAGAGCTAATAACAGCCTGGCGCTGCCACTACAAGCGTGCGGTCCGCACGAGCTACCGGACCTATAACAGCAGAACATGTATGTTAGCGGCAACTGTACTCGTGCAACGTATAACAAAATATAACATTTCTCTTGCAACATGAAACAGGATATAACATTCCTCATGCAGCATGTAATCGAACATAACATTTCTCAGATAAAATATAACAGAATATATAATTTCTCGTGAAACGTCTAACAGAATATGATATTTATTAAGTAACATATAACAAAATATAATATTAATATTCTCATACAAAATGTAACAGAATATAGTATTTCTTATAAGCAATATGTAATCGAACATAACATTTCTCAGATAAAATATAACAGAATGTATTATTTCTCATGCAACGTTTAACAGAATATAATATTTCTTATGTAACATGTAACAAAATATAAAATTAATATTCTCATACAAATGTAACAGAATATAGCATTTCTTATAAGCAACATGTAACAGAACATAGAATTTTTCAAATAAAATATGACAGAATATATTATTTCTCATGCAACGTCTAACAGAATATAATATATTTCTTATTTCTTATGTAACACCGAACAGAATATAACATTAATATTCTCGTACAAAATGTAACAGGATATAGCATTTCTTAAGCAACATATAACAGAACATAACATTATTCAAAGACAATATATAACTGAATCTTTTATTTTACAAGCAACATTTAGCAGAATAAAACATTTATCAAGCAAGCAACATATGACAAAATATAACATTTTCTAATGCAACATGTAACAGAACATAAAATTTCTTAAAAATAATATAACAAAATATATTATTTCCTATGCATGTTACAGAATATAACTTCTATTATGCCTTCCAGAGCACAAGAACAACAACAAAAACAACGAGCGTTATAATGAGGGCTAAGTTATTTTTTAATGAGAACAAAATCGGTTTAAAGAAGATAAAAGTTGTCTTAATGAGATTGTTTTGAAAAATTTTCAAACGAAACATTTGAGGAACTTGCGAACACTTGAAGAACTTGTGAACACTTGAAGAACTTGTGAATACTTGAAGAACTTGTGAATACTTGAAGAACTCGTGAACACTTGAAGAACTCGTGAACACTTGAAGAACTCGTGAACACTTGAAGAACTTGT